TGGTATTCGATCGCTAAATATTGTTAAGAACTCAGCATGAATGCCACCATAGACTTCAATTGATATGATGATAATGAAAAGCTTCAAAAAATTTAACTGAAACTTGAAAATGTAGTAAGTTAAATGATTCCTAAAAGTTCATTGTCCACAATTTTGTACAAAGTACTACCTCCGTACATATGTAGTAGCTTACATTTTAAAGCAATTAAATCAAGTACCTTAAACCAGAACTCCCTTCGCGTATTATTGGCGGAAGCCTCAACCATAGACGGAGCAGTCAAAGCTATCATGTAATATTGACAAAATCGCCACTTTCTGTCGGTTGTGATTACTATCTATTGGGCAACAATTTAACAGCAACCGACATCGACTTATCGCGTGCCACATAACTAATCTCCAATAAACTCTAAGCTCATTTCGATTGCGTTATTGGCATTTCACGTCTAAATCACGTACGGCAAACCGAGTGAACTTCTCATATATAAAAGCTCAATAACATCTCCGGTACAAGTAGTATTACGACACACCACAGTGAACAGTCCATCGGAATACACAGATCAAAGAGATCATCAAACAATGAACTGTTTCCTATTCACACTTTTCTTCGTTGCCGCACCGGTACGTAAACAAAAATTACACATACGCACCACACATTTAGAAAGAACATGAAAATTTTGGACGAAGAAACGAAACGTATTGGTGTAATTTCATGTTAATAATTTTCTTTTTTATCTTTCTTCATAAAGCTTGCAACGGCCTCTTATGGTTCGACTTCGGGTGGCGGTAGTGGTGCTTCCTACCTATCATCGGCCTCATCGAATGGTCTCGATGAATTAGTACAGGCTGCTGCCGGTGGTGCTCAACAGGCTGGCGGTTCCATTACTCCTGCCAATGCTGAAATTCCAGTCTCACCCGCTGAAGTGGCTCGTCTCAGCCAAGTCCAAGCTCAATTGCAAGCGCTCAACTCCAACCCAGTCTATCGTAATTTGAAGAACTCTGACGCCATTGCCGAATCTTTGGCTGAATCTAACTTGGCTTCGAACATTCGTCAGGGCAATATCAATATTGTTGCACCCAATGTAGTTGATCAGGGCGTTTACCGTTCTCTGTTAGTGCCATCTGGCCAAAACAATCATCAAGTGATCGCCACCCAACCCTTGCCACCAATCATTGTCAATCAGCCAGCTTTGCCACCAACTCAAATTGGCGGCGGACCAGCTGCTGTTGTTAAAGCTGCCCCAGTCATCTACAAGATTAAACCATCGGTGATCTATCAACAAGAAGTGATCAACAAGGTGCCAACTCCACTCAGCTTGAATCCAGTCTACGTAAAAGTATACAAACCAGGCAAAAAGGTTGATGCTCCCCTTGTCCCCGGTGTACAAAAGAGCTATCAGGCTTCATCATATGGTGGTTCATCATACTCAGCTCCAGCACAATCTTATGAGGCAGCGCCCGCATCATCATACAATGAAGCTCCTGCTTCGTCATACAGCGCCGCAGCTGCTGCTCCGTCTTATAGCGCTGCTCCTGCTCAATCTTATGGTGCTGCTCCCGCTTCCTCATACGGCGGTGAAGCATCTTATGGTGCTGCCCCAAGTAGCAACAGCGGCTACGGCAGTGCTGCACAATCATCGGGCTATTAAATAATGCCTAGCTTAGTATTTTTTCAGTTATAATTTTTTTTTTTACATGTTTTATACATATGAACTTATGTCCTGTTCGACAATGAAAAAATAAAAAAAGCCATTTTCTCACGAGAGCCATTGTTTTTTTTTTAGGTTAATACTTATCATTTGAACAAAATGTACTTGGGTTAAGAAACATTTAGCCAGAAATTGTATATGGAATCCGAATTTGAGTTTATTTGCGAAGGAGTAATATTTGTGAACTTTACAATTACCGTCTTGGAATTTACTAGAGACTTTTCTATTATACATTTTTGTATTGAAATAATTTTTCTTTTAAAATTACATTTGTACATATGTATGTGTCAGACAGATTTCGTTCATTATTTAAAGAGCTCAAGCGCATGATAAGAATTACCATATCACATGGACAACAGATATTAAAGAGGTCATCTATTCATCATAGGACCAATGTTGTGGAATTATCATAAATTATCACGAGTTATCAAAAGTTCAACGAATTAACAAATTGAATGATAGGCTGGCCTTTGAATAATGTATTACTAAGCAATTGGTTTTAAAAAAATAAACCTAGTTGTTTCATATTCCAGTTTAAAATAATAAAATATATTTTATATTGTCTAACTTTTAATCAGCTGTTGTTCTGTCAATTTCCCATTGCTCTTTAGTACACGCATATCCCATAACAAACTCACCTAACAACAAACGGATGTTGGTAAAACGAACAACGAACAACGAACTTATTAGTGACTTTGTTTTGTTAGAAAATATTTTTGAAAACAACAGCATTAGAAAATAATACTTGTAATGTAATGAAAATATTTTTGTGTTTAATTTATAAATTAATATTGAGAGTTGTTGTGAAATCTGATAGTTGGAATAAGAATTTCATCTGATAATTAGTTTTAGCGGTTATAATGAATTGTGAAATTTTTGGTTTGATGTTTTAATTAAAATTTAAACACTTTTATCGGTTTTGTTGTCAGAAACTAACGAGAGACTCATTAGCGATATATAGGAAATACATATAACGTCTTATTTATTTCTAAAAATGTTTCAAGAATCGATTTTTTTTATTTTTATTATTTTAATCAGAAGGCATGTGCTTTAAGAAATTTAATTGAAAATTTCAAAAGCCAATCTTAGAAATTGGGGCGGGCATGCCACTTGAAAGGGGTTGGCGCCAAGGCAGCCAAACTTAAACCGCAATTTTTAAATACGGATTTTTCGAAACTAAGCTGTCCTAATTACCATAAGACATTACGGAAAAAGTAGCAAGCCTTCATATCCAGCTTTGCTTTAATTTTAAAGAGCAGAAAAACCTACTTGGAATATACTTCTTCTTCTTTATTGGTGTAAGCACCGCTTATGCGATTAAGGCCGAGTTTGTAAACGGCGCGCCAGCCGTTTTTCCCATCCAAGACAGTTCTCTTATTTTCATTGGGTGTTTTTTATGTGGCGGGTCACAAACATAGCGAACACACCCTGGAGAGGGAATAGACTATGGACATGAAATTAATTTTAAATCATTTTAAACACGAATATAAAATTTTGCCAAAAATGCTTTTGAAGCCTCATTTCCATTTTTTATGTTCGAATTTTCTAAATCTAGGAGAAAACTCTCTCAGCAAGCAAACGGCCAGAATCAACAGATCAACAGAAAGAGCTTCGTTTTCCATCAGGGCAAGGCTAGACCACACACATATTTGGATACTCGACAAAAACTGGAGAGCTCGGCTGGGAAGTTTTGATGCATCCTCCATATAGCCCTTACCTTGCACCATCGGCCTACCATTTGTTTCGGTCAATGCAGAACTCCCTTAATGGAAAAAAGTTGCCTTCGAGAGAAGGAAGAAAGTGGTTGGCCAAAATGGTACATATTTGGTTCATTAAAGTTCATTATATATATAAAAAAATAAGTTGAAGTTTGATTAGAATACGAAAAGACTTTTCGTACCCAATATTTTAGGGAGAGGATGAAACGTATTAAGTCAGTTTATTATTTCTCTAAAATACCGTAAAATTTTTCATTTTGCTTTTTCACTACTTTCTTTCAAGGAATATTTTTTTTTTTCATTTTGTGTTCAAAATTTATAAAGTTCCGAATATTTTTGTTTGTTAATGTTGTTCAATTAGCGACTCAGTTGATTGGAATATTGCATGCGAAAATCCAATCTGATTCGCTTTGAAATATAAAAATTGGTTTACAGTTCTGAAAACTATTCCAAACTGACTTGACTAGTTAAATATTATTGATAAAAATTTTTTATTGTTCAAAATCTCAAATCAACAATGCATCGATTCAGTTATGAGACACAACCTGGTTTGAAGTTCTGTTAAAAATTTTATTTTTTGAATTATTCGAAAATTTCACTCGAAGATCGTCAGTTTTGCTTAACCTCACTACAAAATTTGTACTTCCTGATCAACACAGGCAATATACAATCTACACAAGAGTCTCTCTGCAAACTTACATGAAGAATGGTCTGTTCTACAGGCGTTTCCAAAAAAAACAAATATTTTAATGACTGCAACAAATCAAATGCGGATTCTCAAAAATATTAAACGAATCATTTATTTAAAAATCTAATACCCTTATAACCATAATACTAATCTACCTCCGTATTTAACAGACATAAACGCCTCTTTTAATGCATCATACACATATGTACATAAATCGTGATCAAAAAGAAAACATTTTGGTCTGTAATGATTTTTTCCCGATGGCTATAGCAAAAAATTTATAATCTGCTGGGTTGAGTAACCAAGGGAATCATAGCTATTTCAGAAATTTGATCGATCTTTCCATCTCAACTTTTTGTTGTGCTACAAATGGAGCTTTCACATGTTTTAACACAACTCGGTAAATAGGAATTAAGAAATATTATAAGTTTTTCCATAACTACCGCACATATTTACAAAAAAAAACATTTTCTTAAATTTTATAATTTGCAATCACACATCCATGAATGAATATATTTGTATATCCTGCGAAATTGTTATGATAAGAGTTACACGGAAATGACTAATTAACCCCATGATCTCATCTGCAGTAACATGAGAGCATGGCTCGTGAGAGTAATTGACTATAATGAGTCAGTTCAGACAGCTAACGCAATAAGATATCAACACCGGATTGATATTATTGCGATAAACATGTCGAAAAAATATCAGCAACAGAAAATCGCAACAAAAATTTGATGAAAGACAAAATAGCGTCGGGTGGCGCGCTATGAACTGCCGCAGAAATGTCACGTAATTGAAAGTGCAATATGGCGTAATGCCATCGAAGCATATTTAAACAAATCTTCTCAACCCATTGACCACAGTCAGCTAACGGTGCTCTTGCCTTGAGAACACAATAACATAACAACAGAACAAGTTCCGCAGACCAAAGCAGCAGCATCACCCCAGTACACTAAAAGCGACACAATGAACCGCTTTCAACACCTGCTTTATGTGTGCGGCATCGCAATGATTGTACGTAGTGATTTTTTACTAACCGTTATCTACGATATTTGTTTGATGCATTTGGCTAACTCTTTGTTTCACTCATTTTCTTTATAAACAGGCGTGCAGCACGACAGCTTATGCTTCGTATGGTTCACAAGGATCGGCTGGCGGTTATGGTAGCGGCGGTGCTATCGGTGGAGGCGCTGGTGGAATCGGTGGAGGCGCTGCCGGTGTCAGTGGTGATGCACTGAGTGGCATAATTCAGGGCATTGGCTCGGGTTCAATCCAAGGTGATGGCAACGGTGTACCCAGCCCATGCGGTAAAATCTTGCCCGCCCAAAGCATTCCCTACTCGTTAGGTCAACGCGCCAATACGGTCAGCTCTTCGATCACCTACCCACAAAACAAGGGTGAAATCCTTATCCATCGTCCAGCTGCAATCATTGTCAAACGCCCACCCACCAAGGTGTTGGTCAATCATCCTCCACTAGTTGTGAAACCCGCACCAGTTGTATTGCACAAACCCCCAGCAGTCGTATTGCGCAAAGTCTATGTTAAGCATCACCCACGTCCCGTTAAGGTCGAGCCTGTGTACGTTAACGTTGTCAAGCCACCAGCAGAGAAATACTTTGTTAATGAGAAGCAACAAGCCGCTTACAGCAGCGGTGGTTATGGTGCTAGTTCCGGTGCTGGAGCTGGTGCAGGAGCTGGTGGTAATGCTGGCGCCTCTAATGCTGAGGCCGCTGGTTACCAACTGTTACAAGGTAGCCAAGGATTAGCCGCTTTGGCCAATATCGCCAATGGCGGACAAGGCGCCTATGATGGTGGTAATGCCGGACAAGATGCTTATGGCGCTAGTGCCGCCCCACAAGGTGGATACAATGCCGGTAGCTCAGCACAAGGCGGCTATGCTGCAGCAGCTCCTCAATACTAAAATTCCAGTTCATAGAGAATTTATTGAGGTTATTACCTAAACTTTAGGATAAGGAGTTAATGCAGAAAGAAGAGAAAAATCTGTCTTCAGATGGAAAGGTTAATTGAACCTGAATATTTTTTTATACTGTGCCAAAGGGAGAAAATAAAACTTTTTTATGATAATTTACATATCTTTGGGATTTAATTGGTTAAATTAGTTAGGTAGAATTCAATAACAGCACTCAAAAGATTCATTTCGATTCTGGTGTAAAATATAATAAATAAAATTGAGTAACTTCAAAAATGCTGGGAGCACTTTAGGGTCGAAGATGTCGAGAGCTCTTTGCACTCAATGTACTCCAAGTGAAAATATTTTTTTGTTTCAGCCAATAGAAACTGATTGGTATGGAGGAGTGTCCAGTCAACTTGAGATATACGCGAACAATTACTGTAAAGGTCTTTGTACATCGAAAAAGGTTAGATTTATTAAACAGTTAGTTTATCGTTTCTCTACGAAGTTTGCAACATATGTACATATGTACATATGTATATAGATATTGTCAACGTTAGCATCATCACTGCCCAATCAAGCAAAATTGCACGCAATAAGTAGCATTCACGTACTTCCTAAGACTAAACAAGTAAGTTATGGAAAAAAGTAAGGATGGTGGTGGATTCAGCCGCAAACTAACACCACTAATCTGTAGGGCAACTAGAGTATAGTTGCGGATGTACTGTATACTATATTAGTATTTTATAATGAAAAAGTAGATACCATTCCTATTCTTACATTTTGGGACGAAATTTGAATTGACAATGGTGGACTAAACGATTTCATGAAGAATTTAAAAAGCAATGATTTCTTAGAGATTTATTTTAGCTATTAATTGGAGTTGCCTGAATTTGACATTTATGTATATTATTAAAAGCTACGGTAGTACTACATACTGTAATACACCACTTGGCTCCTGAAATGTCTCAGATTATGTTTTTTCGTGTAAAATAACAGACTGCCACACAGACATGATCTTGGCTCTTCATTCTTAAAATTTTAACAAATAAATTTTTAAGCGCAGAAAACAACCGTTAGGTGAAAAAACTATCATTGTAGCAGGTTTCGGTGGTACAAAACGCTAGCAATACCTCTCATTAAAAAAACCCTCACAAAACTGGGTCAAATTCGTTCATCAAATAAAAGTAAAAATGCATTTCATATAAAATATTATAAAAATGCGTGCATAAAAATTTGCAAAATGCATTCAGAAAAATTGTAGAACTCTAAACGAGCGCGAATATTCTCTAGAATATTAAATAATTTCTTATATCATTAAATTCTGTGGAAGCTAAAATAACTTAGCATTCTTATTTACGAATATAAGGTTGGCGTATGTGAAAAGTGTTACAAGTTCAAAGTCACTTCGAAGTTTAACAAAACAAAATACAGCAAAGAAAGAAACTAGCAAAAGACAATCAGTTACCAAGCAAAGCACAAAGAGTGCCACACTTAAGTTTCAGTCATTTTAGGGCAAAATAAGCGTGTTGCTCTGCCGGAAGCTATGAAGCATATTGCAGTTGTTGCAATTTTCGGTTTAATTGCGCTAAATACAATTCTCAAGGTTCGTCTTTTGCTTAATTTTGTTAAATATTAAAGGGGGATTCAATAGGGGCAAGACGAGTTAAAAATTGTGAAAATTCAAAATTTGTGATTATTATTCTACAAGTGTGTCGTGTTGTTTAATTATTAAAATAATTGTATCGGCTGTCGTGATTTGAAATGTCGGATTCTAATATTGTTTTCAATGAATTGATTTCAACGAATAGAGGGTTAGAAATTATAAGTTTAATAAAACATTTTGGCAACAATATCTACACCTTTACCACTTTTAATACTTTATCTTTATTGTCCCACATACTGCTAGCCTCTGTTTAGGCAATGTATGCCTTATTAAATTTCTTAAGTTTTTTATATTTATGCATTAAAAGTAATAAATCTATAAATCAGAGGTGTTGTGGAATAAAAGAGAGAATTGCAAACCAATTCTGATTTTTAATGGTGTCACAAATCTGTTTGGTTTTTCGTCTTTTCGAACATACGCAAAACCAATATTCGAATCAGCTATTTACTAATGTCAGAAAACTTGCAAATAATAAAAATTTTGAAGCAAATCCTATTAAAGTTTGTAATGAGTTACGAATTAAAGAAAGATTTTAAGAGGTAACATTAATCGAATGAATAATGACGCATTCGGATGTTAAATTACGTTTTTTAAATCAAATATCTTTAAATATCCGGATTTTTTTAAGACTTTTCTTGATTTATACTTATGTTTTCCCCTACTGAAATAAAGATAAATTATTTCAAAATAATAAAACGGCTTGATTTCTAACTTACATTTCAAATCTGTGAGCGACTATCTTCCTGCTTTGTTTCTGATAGGGACACCCAAAACCGATACAAATTCTGTTTCGAATATCAAACCAATAATATCTGAATTCATGACACTTACTACTTTTTTGTATCGGATTCAATTCTCCGACAACTGTTAGACTCCACAACAACAAAACAACAAGCAAAAAAATAAAAAATATCGTCCGCAGTTAATATTTTTGTCCTGCATTATACACAAAGTTCTATGCTTTCTTTACAACAACTTGACCTTGATCGTTCAGTTTGTATGGCAGCTACATATATATTTTTATTTCTTTTTTGACATATTGTTTGAGAAAAAATGGAAGCATATAAGGCTCCTTATGCATTAAATTAATTTCAGGGAAAAAAGTGGTATCCCAAGACCTTATTTAAAGTATACTCTGAGAGAAAACTTGTGAAAGAGCTTCTGTTGTCATTATACTTGTAGCATAAAAATATACTACATTTCTGACAAAAAGTGTAGGAACGCAATAAATAATCGTTTTGACAAAGTTGTCAATTCTTTACCCAATTCCATTTAGAAGAATCCAGGAATCCAATCCAATACAGAACAGAATTAATTGTTAAATTTTTGTTTCGTTCTTTTACTTCTAGTAGAAGTAATTTTGCCGGCCATGAAGTTATACGTTAGATTTCCTTTTATATTTCGGGATTTGGCAACACTAGTGTTTCTATCTGTATGCTCGCAATTTCATAGTAAAGTTTGTAGCTTTTGATGGTACACATACTCAGAACGTTTTGCCATAAGAAAACATTATATGTGACCTGGTCTACGAAAAGGGAGCTAACGTGCGAAAACTAGTTTTCTGGGAAGCAGTTGTTAAAAATCTCATCTTCCATCCGAATCAACTAAAAAGTGAAAATTGATTTTTTGGATTTTTTGACACCTAAGCCCCCTTTCCGTAAACCAGGTCACATATGTGTTGTTTAAAGTAATTTAAAAAGTTTTTCTCGAACAAGAATGGAATTAAATTGCGAACATTTTCGATTTTTTACGATGAAGCTCTATCAAGGACCAGTGTTTATCTAAGGTATGGTGAATTCAATCGTTGATAAATCTAAGCAAAATTTCGGGAAGGTCGTCCAAACAGTTGTTGTTCCGATTATATGCGCCCCTTGATGTTGCAAGATCGTCATCTGGCCTATCGTCTAATTGAGGCAGTTATGGGCATTAGTGGGCCTAGCATTCATTCAATATTGCATGAACTGTCATGGGAACGGCAAAAAAACGGCTAGTGTTCATTGGTCGAGATAAATGTTAACAAAACATGATAACGGTGTTTCGAAACACGTCTATGACATCGTATCAGGTGATCTAAACATGGATTTACCCGTATGACCTCAAAAGAAAACACAGAACAGCAAATTCCTAGTGGTAGACCATTTGTTTGTCAGCTGCCTTTCAAGAAATCAGTAGAACCAGCTATCTCTCACACTTGATAATATTACCCCAAAAATGCTAATTAATTGAATTACCAAATATTGCTGTAAAGGTGTTCTCTTTGTTCTTCAATGCAATTCTGAGTTTCAGATACTATCCAATTTCTTGGAAAAGGTCGCAGATTATCTTGATAGATAAACCTGGGACTTAACACAGCCGTCTTCATACAGACCAAACTTTATCTACCGCCTTTCTAAAATATTTGAAAAAGTGCTACTATCAAAAAGATGTATCTTTTGCTCCACGAAAATAATATAATCCCAACGCACAAGTTCGTGTACCTTTTTGTCATAATTTATCCCCGTCAACCATGTACATATATAATATTTGGCACATCCGAACCGATTTACGTACGTATATATTTTATGAATATTATTTAAATGGTATTTGATATATTTAATAAAATAAAGATATAATAGATTTACCTTAAAAGTAAACGCGGCAATCTCATTTTCCTCCGTTTTTCATAATATTTTTAATTCATTTGTATCTCTCGACATTACTGCATACTTTGAAGTTACTTTGGCAATTTCACTTTACTTGATATATTCAACTATAGCGAATATCTAAAATTGTAGTTAATATCGTATAAGAGCGAAAAATATATCCGAAAAAAACTTGATTTTATTATAGTTGAAAAAATAAATATCTGAAAGAAAGGTTAAAGATTATAATATCATCAAATCAAAGATCAAAGAAAACCAAAACAGAAGAAAGGAAAAAAGAAAAAGCAGAAAGAGAATAAATAAACAACTTGAAATATTCAAAATACTACTTTAACTACTTTACGACTTAAAATTAATTCTATTGGTTTTTCATTCGTCGACAAACATTGGCAAAACATAAATGTAATCACACAATAGACACTCAAAAACGGCTAAAAACTTTCATCTTAAATTTAAGACAATAATAAAATATACAAAATAATATTGCATTTTTTTGTCGATATACATAATAACATATACCACGAAATATTTACATTTTGTAAACGAAATTACTTAGTGAACGACTCAAAATATTAATAAAAAGAATTTTTTTTCTTCGCAGCCGACAGCCGCTGAAACAAGATCTCCACAAGTGATAGACTTGGAAGATAAGCATCAATACACATGGCCAATGAGACGCGCTAAACGCGAGCACATGGGAAAGGCGCAGAGCTTTATTGATCTAATACTAAAAATTATGAATTCGCTACAATTTGGTAAGCCAAAGCAGATTGAGAGTACAACATAAATGCTGTTAAAAAAAGGTAGATAATAATAAAAATCCAGATTTTTCTTACGTGCTAAAACGTTTTTTTTTTATTTTTTATTTTATGTTTTTTTTTTTTTTAGTTTTTTATAGGGTTATTTGTATTACAAAATATTAAAAGGTATCAATAAAACTATAACTAACATAATTTTTTAGAGTGTTTGAGTATTTTTAAGTACTCTATAATATTAAGGTTAATAAAAGGTAAGAACATGGTAAAAAAAATTTGCCGTTATATAAATTATGACGTTGAAAATTGCCAAAACCGCGTAAACAGTATAAAAAGGGTGAGAACATGGTGGAAAAATGTATACCCTACCCTTGACGACTATGGTAGTAATATATACAGTTGGATAAGTATATTATAAAATGAAATGTTTATATATAATTAAATATGATTACCAAATGAGCTTAAAACTAATTATATGTTTAGTGTGAATGTATGTATGTGTGCGTGGGGTAAAAAACGAATTTGCTTGTTTATAACGATATATTGTTGAATATTTTATTTAAAAACAAAACGATATATCAAACAACGGTATATTTGAACATCTTACTAATTTCATTTGATATGATTTTCCGTTTCCCTTCCGCGACTGTGCATTGATTTGGAGTATAATAAATTAATTTAAATAATCTTTGATTGTTTTGTGTACATTTACGTTTGTTTTACTACACACGTATGTACATTAAATAATATAAATGAAAGTAATTTAAAAAAATTACAACTTTATATAGAATTAAATATGAATTTGCTGCATAAACAAAACTGTTGTAAAGGACATCGAATAAAATTGCGTTGCGAACGCTTTTACAGTGATATTGTATTACGCAAACAATTTTTTTTTTTATAAAAAAATATTTGAAATATACGAAAATATTTATAACTAAATATATTTAATATTAACGTATAATTATTATTTAATAATTTGATTTAGTTTAGTTATTTTTAGCGTTACGCTTAAGGCAACGTCCTCACTAAAAGCAAAATGCTACAACAACATACTTTTTACTTCTAATAAGTTTTGTTTTTGGTTATTACAATTGCAAAACACGAAAACTGTAGTGACTTGCATTAATACAAAGAATCATGATCAGCATGAAAACGTTTATCGAGTGCAGCTTTTTTTCTAGTGTTATACAAGTATTTGTTTGCAACATTTATCGTCAACCCAGCTCGTTTTATACCCAACACATTTGGTAAAATCAAATAAAACGATTTTGCCATGGAGTCAGTATATACAGTTTACAGAGTAGTATTTATAATATTACCTGTTAGTTAGTTATGTTTTATAAGAAATATTAATTGTTTTTATTTGCTGTCACGTGGACGGCTATTTGTGGTGTTTGTGGACATATTTGGCGTGCTATTGTTGCTGGATGTTGAAACGCAAGCAGAGGAGCCGTTCATTTGTGGCGTTGATGTCGGTAGTGGTAGCAAAGCATTTGGCGGTTGACACCAGTAGCCCTTCAAAGTAAATAAAAATAAACAAAATGATAAAAAATATATATATTATATATGTACATTTGTAAAAAAAAAATGTAAATGTAATTGTAATTTAATAATAATAAAAGTACAACATGACAAGACAAGCAATTTGAAGGGCGAATAATGCTGAAGAATCCAGACTGCCTTCTGATAGAACAAGATGTGACCAACATTGCACTGATTGTTTAGTTTAAGTTAGTTTCTTATTATTTTTTTATTTCTTTATTTTTTTTTTTATTAAATTTTTTTTATATTTTTTTTTAATCTTATTTAAATTAAAAAAATATGGTATTACAGTATTGTTGTAATAAAATTATAGATTTCTTATTTTACATTGTTTATATGTGTTTTAATTATTATTTTTTTTGTTTATTTTCTCTCTATGTAATTGTTATTAATTTTTTATTTGTTATAATTTATTTTTTTAAATTCTTTAAATGACAAAACAAAAAAAATACCAAAAAATATTAAAAAAAAAACTAAAAAATTTGAAAAGTAAAAACAAATTAAAAGAAAAAATACTAATGGAGTTTTTATCTATTACATTTTTTTTCGAATTGAATTCTGATAGGGACAGGTTGTAATTTTACTTTCCAGAGAATAGCTTAAGTCGGAGATCTGTTATTACAAATTTAGCACAGCTATGTATATGCATATCTTAAATATTATTGTAAATGAAATTACATACCAGTGTTCCAGATGGCCCACCTGCCACACCAGCTGTATTACCACAGCCACCTCCATTAACACTAACAGTAGAAGATTGCGGTTGTGGTACCGTTGCAATACCATTCATTGGCATACCACCGGCTGCCGCTACCGCAGAACCGGCTGTGTAATAAAAAGGCATTGGTGGAGGTGGTGCAGTACCAGGATATGGTATACATTGAAACTGTAATCCGTCGCCGCCAGCATGCATTGTGCCATTAGGCTCAACGGTTGTAAGCTCTGCTGGTGTAGGATAGTAACCATTTGATGGCGCTTGTATCGGTACTGCATCTGATGGTGATGGCATAAATTGTTGTGGTGGACCACCATTTGGTGCTACACCGTAGGTTACAGCTGTTGATGTTGGCGTGGGATGCAAGCCCATAGAAGCGCCTGATGGTGCTGCTGGTTGTGGGGGAGCGTAAATACCAAAAGTATGTGGCGGCGCTGGTATTGGCATGTGGAGGAAGATTCCACCACCGGAAGCCGTATTCGGCGGAGCAATCGACAGTGACGGATCGCCATTGAACTCATTGTACGGATTGTAAGGTGCAGCCATTAAAGTGTTGCCATTCGAAGTTTGGTATACAGGCATTTGTGGCTATGGGAGAAAAAACATATTTATAATAATTATTTAAAATTTAAATTCTTACGCTTACTTACATGTGTTATCATTTTACCAACCCCATTAGCGTTATCAAAGTTTCCTTGCGGAGATGGCATGCCATGTTCGGCAACTGAAACCGCCAGTGAGGATACACCACCACCCATGCCAGGGGTGTTTAGGTTCACAGCTTTTGCATTGTGACCTGATGTATGACTATGTGTTGAATTTGGCGTATTGCTGCGATTTGAATTATAGTGTCCACCGCCATTACTTTTTAGCGAACTGGCATACTTATTACCAACACTACCATTGCCATTATTGTAGTCACTTTGATTGTGGTTATTTGAGCTGTGGACATTAGGGTTGTTTGCATTGTTCTGATTACGTAAAAAAAGTGGTCGCTCCTTATTGCTGTTGTAATACCGGGATGGAAAACGTCTGTGCATGTGACCACCACCACTTTTACTACTACCACTATTGACGCCGCCGCCGCCACCAGTTCCACTATTATTACTATTTTGATGATGTGTTGTGTGTGTAATGCCCGACATGTTATTGCCACCGTTAATGTTGCTTGTTTGCGGTGTAGTCAAATTTTGATTCTGCATGCTGTTATTGTTAGAATCAAGCTTTGGCTGAAATTAGAAAATTATGATCAATATTTTTAAGACGTTTTTAAATTAAAAGAAATAAAATAGTTGCTCGCAGTCATTATAATTATACGCTGTGTAGGGTATATACAGTCGTGGACATAGAAATAGTTCACCTTTAAAATAAATTATTCAAATCAGTTTTCAATTTGATCACAATAATTTCCTATTTTAGTGTATATCTTGACTTCCACAATTTATAATGGTATCATGTTTACCCTCTTTTTATTATTTCTTATAATCGCTTTCTAGATAAAATTGATAGCACAAAGAAATAGCACACATTCGCTTGTTTGTACAAATATTCATTATTAATTGGAAGTCTTTTTCCATGATATTTATTACTGTGTTTATGCTAAAAAAAACTATTAAAAAATTATTAAAAACTTGCATTGAGCTCTGGAAAATAGGGGAATGATTTTTGATCTGTGCAAAAAAGCATAAAAAAAAATAACAGAAGAAACATACGGGCACGAATGAACTTTGGTACATTTAGAAATAAATGTCACATTATAGAAAAAAAAAGTTGTACTTATAAAACCGGAGACACGACAAGATTGTTAAGCACGGCGGTGGTGGCGTGATGATCTGGGGAGCGTGGCCTATTAGTAAGATTAGATGTTATAATGAACCAATTTTCATATTTCAACATTCTCAAAAATACTATGGAACTATTCCCGTTCGTATTGATTTGAATTTTTATACATGACAATGATCGAAAGTTCGTAAATGGATTGAGATCGAGGAGGCATGGTACGCAATTCCAAGAAGTAATAAAAGATAGTGGATAGTTTGCACCGACAATGCCAAGCAATTCTGAAAATTGAGGACCCACTACAAAATAGTATCGTTGAGAAAGCTTAAAAGCAATAACACATTTTTAATAAAGTTTCTTATTTTCCAAAGAACCGGCCTACTGATCTATTTATAACCAAACCAAACGGAAAAACGCAAATGGAAACTCAATAATTAAAATAAAATACTATTGAAAATTAGATATGTATGTATATATTTTTTTTAATAATTTACTTATTCCTCAATTTATGCTTTGCTAATGAAAAAATTAAATTTGTATTCTGTTTATATTAATAACAATCGTTGTTTTATTACAAGCTCAAAGTGTGCTATTTCAATGTTTAATACTGTATGTATATATATGTACATATCAAAATTGCCACGAAGATTATAACACCCAGAAAAAAAAAACTTCGGAGGTACACAAAATATATGCATATATTTTAATGATCAACGTGACGAGGGGACTTGTCCGTCTATGTATACGTGAACTAGTCCCGCAAATTCTGATATATGTATCGTTCTGAAATCGTTCATACCGCCTTTCCTCCCCAAAAAGCTGCCCTCTTGTCGGAAACGCCGATATTGAACCGCTATAACATTAACATATAGCAACTATACAAACTAAATGATCAAGAGTTTCTTATATGGAAAACTTTTAAATTTCTGAAGGGCATTAAATCTTCGATGGATCTCAGTTAACATTTTTTTCTTTTTTTTCTAAATTTATAATACGAACTTACAAACCTCTAACGGAGGATCTTCATTTTGATTTCCGCCATTCACTTTTGTGGTACCTTGTGGTCCGGTAGTTTTCACTGTGTTGTCTAAAATTGCACAAGTAATAATTAACAGAAGTAATATACATATCTACAGGCATAACATACCTTCATTGCAACGTTGCTTCATATGCATTAGATGATACTCCAAACCCAAGTTGTAAAAGTGACGCAGAGTGGCAACGTCAGTTGGCAAATCTACGCCACTCACATCTACCGATTTCTTAGCATCCCAATTAATGCGACCAGTTACTGGTGTGTTCATATTTGGAGTTTGTCCACTGCTTCGATTATGAGTGATAGGCGTTTCATACGCTTGCGTTGCAGCATTTTGCATTGAAGGCGTCTCGACAGCACCAGCTGATGTCATGCTACCGAAATGCGTATTAGTTTGATAAAATGGCGCAGCGATATTAGGTGCTACCGCTGTTGGTGGATGTGGAGCAGTAGCCGCTGTGATGAGTGGTTGTGGCAGTGGCGCAGCAGTTGGCATGTAAAAATTATTAGGAGCTGGTGCAAAAGTTGCTGGTGGAGCACCTGGTGGTGGATACATATAATAACCGGTTGGCATTAGCGCTGTAGCGGGTGGTGGGTGCATTGCAGGATCATAACCATATGTATAGTATTCCTCAGGTATACCAGCCGCGTACTGAGGTACAGGATATAAATAATGAAAATCGGGCAAAATAAATGCAGGTGCGCCTATGCCAGCCGATTGTTCGATTGGATTGAAAGTACCCACCAACTCTTCAGGTGCTCCCATGCGTTGTTGTTGTTGCACGTTTGTTTCCGTTTTAATACGTGTTTCTGGTGCAACAGTGCGTGCTGCCACATTGTTCTGATTCTCGTGCGATGGCGTTGCAGAAGTATTGCCACTTTTCGATTCTTGCTCACGTGGCGCATGCTCAACCGTTAGTGGCATTGCACAATATTCAACCGTATGTGCACGGAAATTTTCAAAATGTGTATATTGTTTTAATTTATAGTAGCAACCGTTGCGATGATGTGAAGCAGCTGAAACATAATGCTGCTTTTCGTCTTTCTCACTGACATCACTATCCATTATACCAGGCACATAGTCGGCTGACTTACTATTGGGCGACAAGGGGGCGGCACAGTACTCATGCGCAGATGCAAATTGTCCGTTCAGTTTGAAACGGTAGTTGTAGTGACGTGTCAAGCGTACAGAACTATATTTTTGCATATGACGCTGAAAGCGATATGGCAGTGTCCAGGGCTTAAATTGATCCGGTGGCAGCGGAGTTAATGACTCGTACGGTACCTGTGGCAGTAAATTATATATTAATATTTTTGATATGGGAATTTCTCAAAGCATGCATATAATTTAATGATTGAACCAAAAGTTCGGACATTTTCATTACAAAGTTTTATGTTTTTTGTTTAATTTTTAAATTATTTTACATCTTACCAAACGCTTTTCGCCTAATTGTTCGATAAAAACAATGCAGTAGCCTTTGTCAACTGCAATCTCTTGTATATGACAAGTGTATACATCATTTTCGGATTTGCATAGCTTCACATGACATTTGGCTCCCACCTGGAAGATTTTATGAACTCGTGTTTGCTGGCAGCGTATCAACTTCAGTTTAAACAGTTACACAAGTACAAACATTAAATTGGAATTGGATAGACAGGACACAGCAATTTGGAAGAGGACGTATAAGAATGACAAGCACAAACCGTTGACCGGATTTTATTGTATGTTAGGCACATAGAAGGAACAAACTGTTAGTTCATTCATTTTTATTGACAAGCAAACGACATGCATGCGCACTTATTGACTAAATAAATACCTTAAAATTTGTATCGCCATTGTACCAGTTTTGAAGTTTTTGCTCTTTACGCTGCTCATTCCAGGCATCAAACTCGATATTCCGATACATGTTTGGATCCAACGCTTTGGCAACTTTATATGGAAACGGTGTTATACCTAAATGGAAGAGAAAAGAAAAGCTTATATTCACTTATATAATATATAAAAGAACTTTCAACTACCTTCCTGCAACAATTGGCGCACACAAGATATATATTTATGGGGGAGCAATGATTCCGCCGTCTTACACAGTGCAGACTTTTCATAATCATCGCAATTTGTGTGTATCTTCATTTCGCGTTGCAAATCATCCGATAAACGTGGAAAATTCGTATGATGGAAATGGCAAAGTTCATAATTTTCTAAAATGCAATTAGTTTCATTTGGCAAATCAAAGTGAAAACTACGTCCATCCGTTAAAACTATACGAGTGCAGTAGCCGTCGTCATTGCTTTCGGATGTGTACTCCATTGCATCCAAAGTTGGCGAATGTAACATGTGCTCAACGGCAAATGCAACATCCGGCAACATATATAAATCTTTGTAGATGATTTCATAGCAAATGGCTGAAATTGATATTCAAATAATTTGTATGTTAAAGTGAAGCAAATTTGTTTTTACCTTGGCAAATAGCTGCATCTTTTATATAGTCACAAGTAAAAACAGAATCGAAATGTCTTTCGGGAGTGTAGAATACTCGAAATACATCATTGAAGTAAGAGCGAGAACTATAAAAATTGCCCAAGTTAAAGGGTTCAAACAGCAATACATTTCGTCTGAAAAATAAAATATAAACATAAAACCTTAATTTGTAAAGTACATATTAACGTTGCGCCAACAAAACCAACATTTTTTTTTTTGTTTACATTTTTTATGTATGTGATATTTTACTAACCATAATACTAACTCTTAATACCAAAAATATTAATTTTCTCAAGGTGTAGATAAAAAAATATACATATATAGTATACAAAAAACAATGTTAACTTTGGTTGTACCGTCGCTAAGATTCACTTACTGGAACATATATCCAACCGCCTGCAGTTCGATCAGGGTCCCGTACGTTTTAGGTTTCGACATATCATCTAGATACTCATCCAAATCTCGTTCAACGAGCTATGATAAAATACATTTATATGTTTTTCAAACTTAGAACACAAGTTTTGTTTTTAGGTATCATACCGGCGCAAAATAGTCACGATGCTTGCGCATATAGCGTACGCATTTTTTGCGTATGGCCAAATGATGCAGCTGCGTGTCATACATTTGCTCCGAAATCACACGAAACAGGCATGAAGCATCGCGTGCTGTGTGCTTGCGATAAAAATTGTTCTCCTCCAAAAATTGGTCAAATGGGTCAGGCGCTTGGCGACTGCCAGAGGTGAATTGTCGTTGCATTGTTATTACTTGTACAGAAAGAAAAAAAGTAAAGAATAGCAATAAAAAATAATCAGAAATAACATAAATTATGTGATTGTAAAAAAAAACTTCTAGTTATTGGTCATTTGTACCTAACCTCAAATCGAATTAGAAAAAACCCTATATACAATATCATATCATTACTGTTGTTATATTAACAAATATTTGTAGTTAAAATATGTTATTTACAATAAAAGCATCAATTTATCTAACGATATTCAAAATGTATTAAGTTAAAAGTTCAATGCACGCAACTGTACAGTTCTTCGCAATTATTCCATACACAAATCTTCTCATATACACACAACACATTTCAAGGACTTTTAACAGTTATTCTTATACATATTTATTGGTACAGTTAATGGATTAACAATAACTGAGCACTTTGACAAATAATAAATAAAAAGGTATTCTACAACTTTTTTATTGTACGATAAACAATTTTTACAAACCTTTTTAATATTTTTTATAGCAGCAGTTGTAAATATTAACTTTAATACATTAAAATTTTCTTCAACGAAAGCGCTAAGCGGCAAGAAACACAATCACAAACTTGCACTACAATTGTTGCATAAAAGGATTTGTTTATTAAAATTTAATTTATAAAATAATTCAACAACGATGTTCGCTTTGTTCTTTACTACGTGTTAAAATAAACGAGATGCGATAAAATTCACAGTAAAATGCAAATTGCAAAACACCAAAGATTCAAATTCGAAAAGGGACTCCTCAAAAAACGGTACTATTGTTATAGGGTTACTATCGGTAATTTTGTAGGGTTGCAAAAATATGGATTATTTTTAAATAAAATATTTACTCGTATATATGTATTAAGCTGCATAAAATATTTGTATAATTGATCAGAATAACGAGCTGAGGTTATTAAGTTATCTCAGTCAATCCATCCATCTGTCCGTATATTCATCTGTATATAGAAATTAGTGGCTCAGATCTTTGCTCGATAAGGAAGGAAAAGGAGGGAAGGAAGTAGCGTTCGCCACTGTTCCTGCTATAAGTAAACTTATAAAATCACTATATGGAGCTTAGAACATACATATACATATGTAGATGTAATAAAAGAGTTCATTCAAATGTTAATTGAAATAAAAATTATAATTTAATGGCATATACATTTGTATGTATCAGAGAATAAATATACGTTCTCTGTATGTATATAAACATACATATACATATGTATGTAAAATATAATGATGAAAAGTAAAATTATTGTTAGTCGACATGGTCAACGTTGCCACTTTTCATTGCAGAAGTGAACATCAGAGAACTCTTCAATTTCTGCTTTTAAGCATAAAATCAAATTTTGCTGAAATTTTATTTTATTTTTTATGGTGATCCTCGCGCATTGCGATGAGATGATATGCTGATGCGGGTACCTTTTGAATGAATTTGTTGTCGTTGTAATTGAAATAATATAAGAAAATTTGTCCTAAGCTTGCTCGAATTCTATTTACATTTTATTCAATTAGTTTAATTAATTTTTTGTTACTTTAACTTTACTTAAATTTTTGTTGATATTCATGCCAAAGAACATCTGCGCATGCATATGTAAGCACGATCGTGCCGTGGTGTAATTTCATTTTCGAACTTGGGCCTTTTCAATGTTTTCTCATATTAATTTAAATTTTGGTACAGCTAACATTTGCCCTTCCTCCATGTATTATATTAACATTGTCGGTTTGTGCCTTACCTATTCACTAACATTCGCTGTTATTATCTATTTATTAACATTCACTGCTGTTATTAAAAACGAATAAATTCATTTATAAATGTGATATTTAAAGCATAATTTTAGGCGTTCGCTATCAAGCTACGCCTGTAACGGACATCAATGTATGTTAAATTCTTCCGGTTGCGTAGTAAAATTGTTAAAAACTTAACACCAACCTGTAAACACTTGCTTTTTTTATTCTGCAATGACTCATAGTGGACGTCAGATGGCGCAAATAAGAGTGTTTTTGAATTTCTGCCGCGTCGCCACCCACACCAACCCAACCAAAAACAACAGTGAACCCGTTTATAATAAAAACAATGTCGATTTTAGCAGAGCTTCAACCATTTGCACGGCATTTTTTATTGCGCTAACATATGAAATACTGTAAAACTGACATTTAACGGGACATGCGCAGTAAGTGACAGCAAAGCAGGCATGCAAGCATAAATATGCATACTGACAGCAGCATCAGTTAATTCCGCCATTTCTCTGTGCATACATGTAAAATGAAAAGTAATTAATTATTTCAAAGAGATTAACTGAGTTTTCAATCATTTAAAGTTATTTGTGTATATTGTGTAAAGCGAGTGTTGTGTATATTAGTTGAATTAAACGATAGTGACTGTTTAAGTTGCAGTCTGCAGAAAACGTTTGAATGAAGCTTATTTAACGCCTTCACTAGTAGGCCACTTTGCCGGCTCCTGTGATGCCTTTGCAGACATCGTACGTGCTGTCGTACGTGTTTTTAGTGTAGCTCTTCTCTGCTTTTGTCTCTGCGTCTGCGTCCGCATAGCAGTCGGCAAGCCGTTGGGTGGGTAGGCTAGACTGTAATTGCCTGGCTCTTTGGTGGACTTCGCTTTGCTTTTCTGCACTCGGCGCTGCTCAGTCAAAAATCTCAAGTCAATGAAGTCTGGAGTAAACTTCAAGTTCGCGCTGTTACCGCGACTAAAGTTGTCTGGAAGAGATGTGAGTTTTAAAGTGTAGAATTTGTTAAGCAAATTGTTATACATATACATACATATATATATACATAACTATTTACATGAATAAGAAATATAAGTTTCGTACGTATGTTCAGTTTATGCAATCTTAACGTTTCGATGTCTATTAAAACCTAAGCTAACTCGTTAAACAAATAATATTTAGACGTTCCATGCAGTCGTCCATTCGCCACAGCACGCAGCTGCCCACCCTCACCTGTCAGTTGTGTGCTCTGCAGCTTTTGTTAGTGTACATTTGTTATATATACAATATTTAAAGTTAATTTGCTTTTATTTACATATTTTTTGGATTATTTGGGTTTAATAATTTGCATAATGTTATGTTGCTGAATGCTGTGAAAGGGGTTTCTAGACAGCGGAGTTAAAGTGTTCTTGTGATAAAGCAAACGAAAATCATTATTGATTATGAAATCACAAAGAAAAAGGTGTCATAGCGTTTTTGTAATACAATAACAAGCAATACGTTGTCGGGGGTAACACACATACCTGTTGTTGTTGTCGCTTTCGTTGGCATTGTCAACGATGTCGTTTTGTCTGGCGCTGCATAGTAATTACAGAATTCGCAAATAATTTTATTAATTCATATAATTATTTACACAAAATTAGCCATCTCTAAATTCTTTGAAAGCCGCCACTGTTAACTTTATCTTCTGTGATGTTATTGCTGTTCTTCTCCATAGCCGAACTTGCTAATCGTTTGAGCAAAATCAATAACATAACAACAGCGCAAATGCTCACAAAAAAACTACTGATTAGAATAAAATTGAGCAAAAAAAAGTGTCAGTGACGTATGCAGGTACAATGTTATAGTAATTTTTGCATGCCGATATTGCTAAATATATATTAATCCTTACACTCACTACCGTGCTACTGATTATTCATTCATCATACTTTATTCTTAAGTAGCGCATTGCTTACTTGCCGCTATCGTAACGCCAACCCAGTATGTTGTGAAATTAAAGCAATGCCAAAAGTAATGAAAACCGATTTGTGATAAAAAAAAAATATTAATATGTATATGGTATACATTAATTAACAATATTTAGTATTTTATAAAAAAAAATTTTCTCTCCTCTAAAAGTTCAACATTTCTATAAGATATAATAGTTATTGTTTCTTCTTATAGATGATAATGTGAAATTAATTTGCATACAGTATTTGCATACTATGTACATACTCTTCTTTATTTTTTATAAGTCACAACCGGTCTTCAAGAAATTATGTTTAATTGTAATATTTTTGCGTTAGAAATAATTTAATTAATGCTATGAATACCTAAACAATAATCATTTTATTTAATCAATGCTATGAGTACCTAGATTTTAATACTTTGAAATATTCAAAATATGATGTCTTACCTTATTCCACAACCGGTGTTTAGACCTTTTGCACTAAAGAGAGGGGGCACTCTTGCCCGGCTGGATCTCTATTGTCATATTGCTTTCTAGTACTGAACCTAGCGTGTGCTTGGCAAGTGTTGACGACCAACTTCTGTGCGAGTGCGAGATCTGTTCAGCCTAGAGTAGAACGCAGGAAATCTACTGAATTACTTGCCCTTAGCTAAATTCATCTAACCGCAATCGTTGTTGTTGTCTTGCCGGACGCATGTTTTAAAAATTGTATAAAATACGTTGGATTGGAAACTTCCAACACTTATTTCTTCATTATGCAGCCTTTGCAAGACTGTTGTTGAAACATCTCTCTCAGTTTTACCGAAGCTTTAACTAATTTATGATAGGCTCAACTTATTTAGACTTATTAGGTCTTATGATCAATTATATAGGAGTTTTGATACCAAATGAGATCCCTGCTAAGATTGACTTCTTAACCTAACCTAATTTTATTCGATTTTACAGCTAGAATTATTCGGAAAGATTTTTGTAAGTAAAAACTGAAGAGACCCAAGTAACTTCGAAGATTTGTACCATTAAGCGACTAAACGCTATTGCTAGAAGAACTCAAAGCTTTGTCCAAAGACGGTTATGGGAACTGTAACGGAGAGGGCAGCGGGGATAAAAGTGCTATACATCTGGAAAATTTGTTTGAAGGAACGTGATTTTTTTGATCACTCCACGTGTGTAGATTTTTCAATAATAAAAAGAATCTGCACTCGCACGTGCACGTAAAAGCGGCTCCACTTGGTATAATAGTATAATAGATTTATATACATAAATATATGTACATACATATGTATGTATATAAATGTAAGTATCTCATGCTGCGCCACTTGCTGCATGCGGTAGCATAAGATGGGACAAAATAAAAGTAAGGAAGTTAGGATCTCCAACGATTGGGTTAAACTCATATGACATTTGAGAGAAATTACATAATTATATATGTAGTATAATATGTAAAGAAAGTTTGTTTTTCATATTATTAGGTAGGTAGGTTGGGAAGCTAATGGGACGAAAATCCCTTCACACTATCCTGTCCTCTCTGAATGATGTGCACTTGATGAAATTCATCAATTCAAAATTTTTAATTTGTATAACTTCGGAGACCTCTTTAAGAAACAGCGACCGAAGCTGCTACTCGATTTCTTATGTCATTCCTTTTGGATTTCAATAGTCGGCATATGCGGTCACTATTCCATTTATGACACGTTTGTTGGCTTATTGAACATGTCAGAAATTGTTTCCACTGAGGCTGATCTATATGTATTTAAAACACGTTAAAGCACGCACGTTTGTTGAGTAAAAGTAAATTCCCTCTTTATCGCTGCCTAATTGTAGGGTGGTGCCTTTTTTGGCTAGTTCATCTGCTTCACAGTTATGATATAAAAAAATTATGTATAAATTTATGTATAAAATATCACTGTGTTATGGAACAGAACGCAGGTTTGTCATGAAATGGAATGTTAGATCCACTAACTGACCAAGGAATTCCTTGACAATCTTCGATGAAACCTCAAGATACTTTAAATACAAATCAAATTTTTGAATCAAAATTTATTCCAGATC